GAGTGAAGCCTCGAGACGAGAGAATGTTGTTCCCGAGCCTAGCTCACTGGGTCGCAGCTGTACCAGAGTATATATACGGTCCCTGCCAAGGTGAGAGAAGGCTCAAGAAGAGCGTTTCGTGTGTCTGTCTCAAGTTGAGACCCGTGTTAGGTTGAGGTCCATCTCAAGGTGAGACCTGTGTTAGGCTGAGGTCCGTCTTAAGGTGAGACCTGTGTTAGGCTGAGGTCCGTCTTAAGGTGAGACCTGTGTTAGGCTGAGGTCCGTCTTAAAGTGAGGCCTGTGTTAGGCTGAGGTCCGTCTTAAGGTGAGACCTGGTGTTAGGCTGAGGTCCGTCTTAAGGTGAGACCTGTGTTAGGCTGAGGTCCGTCTTAAGGTGAGACCTGTGGTAGGCTGAGGTCCGTCTTAAGGTGAGACCTGTGTTAGGCTGAGGTCCGTCTTAAGGTGAGACCTGTGTTAGGCTGAGGTCCGTCTTAAGGTGAGACCTGTGTTAGGCTGAGGTCCGTCTTAAGGTGAGACCTGTGGTAGGCTGAGGTCCGTCTTAAGGTGAGACCTGTGGTAGGCTGAGGTCCGTCTTAAGGTGAGACCTCTGGTAGGCTGAGGTGAGGTCTGTGTCAAGGTGTGAAACTGTCCAAGTTACGGTAAGTGTTTGATGTATCCCTCCCTATCAATGTGAATTCCCTGCCAATGAAGCCATAAGTTGCCTGCTGCTTCTCCCCCCTGTTTCATCCCCTCCTTTGCGCCCACCATTGCTGCTACAGGTCAGCAGCGGCGGCGCATCTATCTACTTCATCTGCTCAAGGTCCGCAACTGCACCGACCCCTCCCAGCCGAACCTTGTGTCTTCCCGTTTCTCCTGCTCCTCCATATTATCGCTCTTGCCCCTGCCCCTGTACCCCCACTACCCATCCCCAGGTCAGCAGAGGCGCATCTTCTCCAACAAAGCCCAACTGCACCGATCCCTTGGAGTGTAGTGGACCTCTCCTGCGTACCCCTCCTCCTGCTGCTTCCCCACACTGTCTCCCGCCTCTTCCTCTGTATTCCCACCATCCCTCTCCAGGTCAGCAGCGGCGCATCTTCTCCAACAAGGCCCGCAACTGCACCGACCCCTTGGAGTGCAGCGAACCCCACCTGCTGCTTCCCCACACTGTCTCCCACCTCTGCCCCCACTACCACCACCCCTCTCCAGGTCAGCAGCGGCGCAAATTCTTCAACAAGGCCCGCAACTGCACCAACCCGACCCGTGCAATTGAAAACATGTTTCACCTCTCCTCTGCACCCACCATTGCTGCTGCAGGTCAGCAGCGGCGCATTTTCTCCAACAAGGCCCGCAACTGCACCGACCCCTTCCCGCTGAGCTTCCCGTTTCCGCTCTGCATCTCCTTCACTCCAGGCCGTGTCTCTTTCCCCTGCCCCCACCACTCGCCTCCTCTCCAGGTCAGCAGAGGCGCATATTCTTCAACAAGGCCCGCAACTGCACCGACCCCTTCCCGCTGAACCTCTCTCCTCGACCTGAGCCTTGCGGTGAGTGGCTCTGCGGTGCGATAGTTCGCTCTGCAGTGAGATGCTTTGCGGTGAGGTGCTCTGAAGTGAGTTGCCCTGCCCTGCAGTGAGCTGCGTCGGCACATGGAATGATTGACCTCTGAGGTGCCTCAAAAGTCAGGTGCACCAACCTCTCGCCTCGACCTGAACCCTGCGGTGAGCTTCTGGTGGACCGTGGTTTAAGGGTATTAGGGTGAGGTGGTGGACTGCGGCTTTAGGGTTTTAGGGTTAGAATAAGGACCACGGCCTTAGGGTGTAGGGAGCGACCGAACAAGCTTTGAATATGTATCCCTAGACCTCAACCCAACCCATACCGTGGTGGTATGATTTCTAGTATGTACGCCAGACCTGAGCCCAAATTGATATCATTGTATCATATCAACCGTAGGCCCAGGAGGAGAAGATGACTGCGTGGCACCAGACCAGACGACTGCACACCAGCACGGCGGCACGCACAGCAGAGGACCGCGGGTACAAGTAAGGGAAGTGTCACAATGTCATGGCTGGCTGTGCGTGTAGTGGTGAGTCTATTTTTGAGTCGACTCAAAAATGTCATGGCTGGCTGTGTGTTCATCCATATGTGCATCCCATCCCACCCAATACCCATTGCATGGCATGACATGCCGTGACAGACATCTGTGCACACCCGTGTGTGTGCGCTGTGCCTGTGCCTCTCTCCTCCCGTACAGACTGCACACCAGAGGACTACGAGCGCAAGTATGTCAAGGCAGGCAATCACATGGCATTTTTCTAGTGGCTGGACCGTGCCGTAACCGTGTGACCACGCCTGTGTGTGCGCCCTTGTCTCTCCTCCCGTGCAGACTGCACGCCAGAGGACTATGAGAGCAAATACGTCAAGGCAGGCAATGGCAGGCGAGGGCCTGACAATGTGCCAGCGGCCGTATCCCATACCCATGTGTCTTCACGCCTGTGTGTTTGCTGTTGCCTCTCTCCTCCCGTGCAGACTGCACGCCAGAGGACTATGAGAGCAAATACGTCAAGGGAGATACAGGCCTGGCCGGTCGTGTGTTCATTCATGTGTCCCATCCCATACCCATATCCACATGTGTGTGTGTGTGTGTGCGCGCGCGCGCGTGTGCGTGCGTGCGTGCGCGTGAGTGTGTGTGTACGTGTGTGTGTGTGCGCCAATGTCTCTTTCACCCCACCAGACTGCACGCCAGAGGACAATGAGCGCAAGTACGTCAAGGCAGAGCACGCCTAGCAGTGTGTTAATTGGCCTTGTCTCACACTGCCTGTGTTTTGTTATGTGCCTCTCACACCCCGCGTGCAGACTGCACGCCAGAGGACTATGAGCGCAAGTACGTCAAGGCAGACAATGGCTCCTGCACCCTCTCCTTCCAGCCAACCAGTACGTACTCGTTTCTGAACTCCAGATTTGTTGAGCTTGATTCTGAAAATTCTAGCTTACTTTTGAGGCGCCTCAAAAGTCCTCTCCTTCCTGCCAACTAGTACCTACTCGTTTCTCAACTCCAGGTTTGCCTTCGGCTAACTTTTGCCATTTATTTTTGTGACTTTGTCTCATCTGCAAAAAGTTGGCTAGAAGATTCGCTGGGTGGATAGACGATGTACAGAGTTGGTTATCGTGACTATAAGTCTACCAGTTGTGACTCTATATGACCTTTTTGAAGATGCACAATCATGCACCATCCCTTGACTTGTCCCCGTTGCCCTCGCTTCCAGTTGCACTTTTGATGAATCCGAAACACGTTATGCTGTTGGGGTGAATGGGGTGCTCTCGTTTGCTCCATGACAACAGATTGTGATGGGGTGAATTCCAGCTGGGATAGTTCAGCTGGCCTTCTCTCCTTGTCCCTTTTGTTCTCGCCTCCAGCTGCATTGCATCTAGTGTAAATCGATTTTTGAGTCGACTAAAAAATTCTCGCCTCCAGCTGCATTGCATCTAGGGTAAATCCACAACCACAACACGTTATGCCTGTCTTTGTCTATCTTGTTTGCCTGATGTCAACAGACTGCGAGGGAGGGGATTCCACTTGGGAGATTCCTGCTGACCCTCTCTTCTGTGGTGAGCACACTCCGAGTAATCTGCTGCATCCTTGTTTCCTTTCTAGTTCCTCATTAAGCACTCCTTGTGAAATCAGCTCTTTGCTTCTGCGAGTGGTGGTGTGCATGCAGCATGGTGCCTGGTTTTCATTCCGAGCTGCCTCTGCTGCCATTGGCTCACCCTGTATGCGCGCTTGTGTGCTCGCATCGCACGTGTGCATCATGCGTGTGTGTCTTTTGTGAGTTTGTGCATATGTTCCTCCTCCTGCCTGCTTTTGAGGCGCCTCAAAAGGCGCCTCAAAAGTGCTCGCATCGCACGTGTGCATGCGTGTGTGTCTTTTGTGAGTTTGTGCATATGTTCCTTCCTCCTCCTGCCTGCATGCAAATCCATCCATGCACATATCTAATTGCCTCCGAAACACGCATCCAATTCAAGCACCCAAATCCATGTGTCCGGATCCCACCGCTTAAGTCCTCACATGCACATGTTGATTGATGGGTAACTGATCTGCTGCACAGTTAAACCCAGTGCCAGGCGACTTTTGATTTAAGATGTCTCAAAAGTCGCGTGCATATATGGGTCTAGGGATTAGGTATTTGCTGCCCAAGTCTATGTTGAGTGATCTATTGCAGGGCTAGGCTAGCCCCAATTTCCAATTAGGGGGCTTGGGGGCCCCGATCTGATGAGAACATAACATTCTCATCCCATGACCGAATGGGGGGATCCATGCATCAGATTCAGCTTATAACATCCTCCCATGATGTCATTAGCATCAGGCATGGGGTTCAGCTTATAACATCCTCCCATGATGTTATTAGCATCAGGCATGGGGTTCAGCTTATAACATCCTCCCATGACCGCATGTTGATTGATAATCGATCTGTTGCAGAGCTAGCCCCGGTGCCATGTGGGGAGGGCAACATCCGCACCATCCATGGCAAGTGCGACTACATCAGAGACCCCGCGTCCAACCAGCCCCTCAGCAAGGAGAAGACCATCCAGGCACGTGGTAACATGCGGTAACACACGGTAGCATGTGGTATGTGGTAGCTCCGGTGGGTGGCATGCATGTGGGGAGGCAACATCCGCACCATCCATGGCAATTGCGACTACATCCGAGACCGAGCAAAGAGCCAGCCCCTCAGCAAGGAGAAGACCATCCAGACACGTGGTAAAATGCGGTAACATGTCGTAAGACACTAGACAATACGTGGTAACATGTGGTAACATGTCGTAAGACACTAGACAATACGTGGTAACATGTGGTTACGTGGTCAAAACGTATGGTGCTGTCATGTTCCCTGCTGCTCGTCCGTCTTCTTCATTCACGCTTGCGCTTCCTCAGCATCCTCCCCCTCAGCATTTCAAGTTGTGATTTCAATATCCTTTTATATTTTGAGCAAAGTTCTTGAGGCGCGCCATCACCATAACATGTCATCATGTCACCATCACCATCACGATCACCCTCACATCACCCCCCTCCACATCACCATCACCCCCCTCCACATCACCATCACCCTCACATCACCCCCCTCCACATCACCATCACCCTCACATCACCCCCCTCCACATCACCATCACCCTCACATCACCCCCCTCCACATCACCATCACCCTCACATCACCCCCCTCCACATCACCATCACCCTCACATCACCCGCACTCCCACATCATCATCCCCACCACCAGGTGATCTATTACTTTGACAGCAGTTGCAACCCCACAGCACACGGCTCTCTCCCGCTACCCTCGCCTGGATACATCCCCTGCGGTATGTGTGTGTGTGTGTGTGTGTGTGTGTGTGTGTGTGTGTGTGTGTGTGTGTGTGTGTGTGTGTGTGTGTGTGTGTGTGTGTGTGTGTGTGCTGAGAGCTTCGTGGTGGGTCGGGTGGGAGTTGTGTGGTGGCTTGATCTGTGGCGGCGCTGCCATAGCCTGGATACATTTTCTGCGGTATGTGTGTGTGTGTGTGTGTGTGTGTGTGTGTGTGTGTGTGTGTGTGTGTGTGTGTGTGTGTGTGCTGGGAGTTTTGTGGTGGTGCAAGTGGGGTGGGGGTTCTGTGGTGGGTTGGGTTGAACCTTATCTAGCCATCACGAATCACCCCACACGGCTCTCTCCCACTGCCATAGCCTGGATACATCCCCTGCAGTATGTGCCAAAGTTTTGAGACGTCTTAAAGCTACCATGACCTGGATGCATTCCTGCCCTGCGGTATTTGCCAAAGTGACTTTTGAGTCGACTCAAAAGTCACCTCGTTTTGAGACGTCTCAAAGCTACCATGACCTGGATGCATTCCTGCCCTGCGGTATTTGCCAAAGTGACTTTTGAGTCGACTCAAAAGTCACCTCGTTTTGAGACGTCTCAAAGCTACCATGACCTGGATGCATTCCTGCCCTGCGGTATTTGCCAAAGGTACGATGAACCAGCTGAATACATTTCCCACATTATGTGCCATGTCGTGCCGTACCATACTTTACCATATCATACCGTACCGTACCGTACCATTCCATACCGCACCGTGCCATACCATAACATACCATACCATACCATACTGTACCGTACTGTACCATACCATACCATTCCATAGCATATACTGTACCGTACCCCCCTCCACTCCCATCTTCCCCTTTTCCTTTCTCTCCCCCCTCCCACACAGACATGACGTGCCCTGCCGGTTCCTACCTTGACGGGGACAATGCCGCAAGTGCAAGCCTGGCACACAGAGGAGAGGAGAGCACACAGGACATCATTCCGCCATCCAATCCCATCCACTGCTTCTCTCTTCCCCCTTCGCCCAACCCCCCGCCTCCCCCCCCAAGACATGACGTGCCCTGCTGGTTCCTACCTGGACAGGGACAAGTGCTGCAAGTGCAAGCCCGGCATACAGAGGAGAGGAGAGCACGCAAGACATCATTCCGCCATCCAATCCCATCCACTGCTTCTCTCTCCCCCTTTCGCCCAACCCACCCCCCCCCCCCCCCCCCCAAAGACATGACGTGCCCTGCTGGTTCCTACCTGGACGGGGACAAGTGTCGCAAGTGCAAGCCCGGCACGTACAGCATGGGGGGAGGGATCCGTTTCGATGCTTTCTATGAGCTTGATGACCGGTTGTTCCAGGTATGGCTGGGTACTTGGCGGTACGATAGTTTCTGAGGCACCTTGAAGTTCGCTTTTGAGCTGCCTCAAGATTCGTGGCTGGTTGTTCCTGGTACGATTGGCTTTTGAGTCGACTCAAAAGTCAACTCTGGCCGGTTGTTCCTGGTACGATTGGGGAAACCTTTACTTGCTTGGACTTGCAGACCGACTCGAATTCAGAACGAGTCGTGCATTTTAACTTGATATATGATATATGGCATATATTTGTTATTATATATCTCTTGTTGCTCACATGCATCTCCTGCTTATCCTTTTCTACCGCTCTGTATTCCTCCCTTTCACTGCCAGACGGACTGCACCCACTCCAACTCCTCCGGTTCATTCAAGTGCGACGGGTAAGGCCATCTCGATGTACCACTCATGCGACTTTTGAGTCGACTCACAAGTCGCTCAAAAGTCACCTTTTTTATTCGACTAAAAGTAATTCAGAAGTCACCTTTTTGGGTCGACTCAAAAGTAAGGCCATCTCAATGCACCACTCATGCAAGCATATGTGTCGACACGTCAAGCTCCGTGCTTTCCCAAATGCGATTTAGGCCTATGTGCCTGGCTGGCCGTAGCAAGAGGACCAAAAGGCTTAAAATGAGACTGCCTCTCCTCCCTTAGTTCTTTCTCATCGTTTGCAATAGCTTGTGGTATGGCATGCGTCAACAGGCAAGCTCATAATCAGGCCTCTTTTTGATTCGAGGCGCTTCTGTGGCGGGCTTAAAGGCCTAACTAAATCGACTCAATAGCCATCCATATGCTCACCATTCTCCGTTGCTTCTCACTGCCCCCCAACAGGTGGTATGCAGCAGGCGGCCAGCTCAAAGCCGGCCCGTACGGCAACCCGGTTCTTGAGGCGCCTATAAGATAGCAGTCATCCCACATGGCGATTATCCACCAGACTCCCTTTCCTTGGTGCGTCTCACCGCCCCCCCAACCCAACAGGTGGTATGCAGCAGACGGCCAGTTCAAAGCCGGCCCGTACGACCCACCCAATGAATGGTATCCGGTAGGGCTCAAGCGCTTACTTGGCACAAGCTTATTCGTGAATTGAGACTTTTGACTTTTTAAATTTCTCGGAACTCGAACGTTCCCTGTAGGTAGTCTCATGCAAAACGCTGGCTAACTCTCGCGGCTGCTCCCTTGAGTTGAGTGCTATAACTGTCACGCTAAGTGGATACGTCTTGTCTTGATGGCCTCAATAACCTCCCTTGAGTGCTACAACTGTCCTGTCACGCCGCCAAATGGATGAGACTCGAGGCACCCCAGCGCCTCAAAACTCAATTCATTTTGCTCCCTTGAGGGCTACAACTGTCACGTCACGCCAAGTGGATGAGTCTTGACGCACCTCAATCTAAGGTCACATTTCTCTTGCCCTTGTCTCTAAGCCCTCATATCGCTTTAATCTAGCTCGGCGACAGCACGACCTGCTTCTTGGAAACCCACGATTGCCTGCCACAACACCACAACTTGCCACTGCAACTTGCCACTGCAACCTGCCACTGCAACTTGCCACTGCAACTTGCCACTGCAACCTGCCACTGCAACTTGCCACTGCAACCTGCCACTGCAACTTGCCACTGAAACTTGCCACTGCAACTTGCCACTGCAACTTGCCACTGCAACCTGCCACTGCAACTTGCCACTGCAACTTGCCACTGCAACCTGCCACTGCAACCTGCCACTGCAACCTGCCACTGCAACCTGCCACTGCAGCCTCTCTTATACCCCTCTGGCTCTTCCATCCACCCACATCACCTCCTTCTCTCCATCTGTGCTGCGCAGGACGACTGCTCCCTCGGCTCGGACAACTGCCACAACAACCTACTTTTCACAATCCCTTGCATCCCTCTGTTACCTCATCCCCATATCCCTCGTGCCACCTGCTTCTCTCCATCTGTGCTGTGCAGGACGACTGCTCCCAGGGGTCGTACAACTGCCACAGCAACGCGCTCCCTACCGTCTCTCACCTCCCTCTCTTACCTCTCACCTTCTTCGTGTCACCTCCTTCTCTCCATCTGTGCTGTGCAGGACGACTGCTCCCTGGGATCCTACAACTGCCACAACAACCTGCGTGCGTCGCTGCGCATGCAAGTGGAGCTCATCACATCGGGGTGAGTGAGTGAGCGACACAACATCTCACCCGTCTGTGCCACCAGAGGATCCAATCACGGTGAGCGAGTGGGCGTTGTGCTCAGGTTGACACATCACCTTACCCGGGTGAGTGGCATGGAGGTGGAGAAAATCCGATCAGGGTGAGCCAGTGAGGTGAGAGTGTGAGGGCCGTGCAAGTTTGATTGAGACACCACCCGTGTGTTTCCTTCCCCGAAGCAGCCTTCATCGGGCACAAGACCGACGGAATGAATAATCAACATCTCGGACCCTGTTCCCAATGTCATCATTGTTCTACATCCACTCCATAATCCACTCCATAATCCACTCCATAATAATCCAGTCCATTATCCACCCCACTGCTATTTGCCTTGCCCTTATGCTTCGCATCGCAGTGACCTGACAACACGCTTCACTCACTCGAGAGGTCACCATACTCCCTCCCTCTACTCCAATCTCATCGTACCGTTTCATCGTACCATTTCATCGTGACCATTTCATCGCACCATTTCATCGCACCATTTCATTGTACCATTTCATCGCACCATTTCATCCCTCCATCCACCACAGATACGTGCGCCCAGCTTGGTGCTCGTGTTTGCAACGAGTCAAGTGCGGAGCACTACATTCACAGGCTGTTCCCCTCCTCTACATCCTTCGTTTCGTGCCTGGGCCATTGGCCGCCCCCCTCCCCTCCTCTCCCCCACACCCGCAGCTACATCTGGCATCACTTCACAAAGAATGCAGAGCACAAGGCTTGACTGAATTGACTTAGAATGCCTTCCTTCCTCCTCCCCCCTCTCTCTCCCCATTTTCCCCCCCACCCACCCCTGCCGCAGCTACATCCGGTACCGCTTCACAGTGAGCGCAGAGCAAGATTTTTGAGGCTCCTCAAAGTTTGACGGGCTGCTCTTCTTCCTTGATCCCTCTCTTATCCTCCGCTCCCCCATTCCACTACTCCCCTCCCCAATCCCCAATCCCCCATCCTGCATCCTCCAACCCCAACCCCCCATCCCCCATCCACCACCCCCCTCCCTCCTCCCAGCTACATCCGGTATCGCTCCACAGTGAGTGCAGAGCACGAGTTTGATGGGCTGCTCCCCCTCCTGTGGTCCTCTTGACTCCTCTTCACGCCTCTCCACTCCTCTCCCACCCGCAGCTACATCCGGTATCGCTTCACAGTGAGCACGGAGCACAAGTTTGACGGGCTGCTCTTCTTCCTCCCCTCTCGCCCTATCTTCCCCACCCCTCTGCCTCATCCCCCATCCCCCATCCACCCCCCCCCTCCCCCCCCCCCCCCTTCCCTCCTCTACTCACGCAGCTACATCCGGTACAAGTTCACAGTGAGCACGGAGCACAAGTTTGACGGGCTGCTCTTCTTCCTCGACTCCTCGCCAGAGCCTTTGATGGGGCTCGAATCCAACCAGGTGAGTCCCTGTGACTTGAGAGTTGACTCAAAGCTACCTCACTTTGATGGGCTACTCAAGAGGCACCTCACTCCTCGAGTCTCAACTGGTTGACTTGTCAGTTTGACGGGCTGCTGTTCTTCCTTGACTCCTCGCCAGAGCCCACGATTGGGCTCGAATCCAACCTTTTCCTTCAGGTACATCTGGATCGGAAGTTTTTGCAGTGAGCCCTCCTGTCCTGGTTCGCTGCTCTCATTGTGAGTGAGCCTGTAGTTTTTTGAGTCGACACATAAGAAACCTCAGTTCTCGAACCGAGTCTCAACTGAGTGGCTTCTTAGTTTGACTTGACGGGCTGCTTCTCTTCCTCGACTCATCACCAGAGCCCATGATGGGCCTCGGGTTCAACCAGGCTCGGTTCTGTTTGGTTCGTTTCGATTCCGTTCAGTTCGGATCGGTCGGTTCGGTGCGGTTCGGTTCGGTTCGGTTCGGTTCGGTTCGGTTCGGTTCCGGTCGGTTCGCTCTATCAAGTTTCGTTCTGTCCGGTTCCGTTCCGTTCTGTTCTGTTGTGTCTTTTATTGTCCGATTCGGTCTTGTCCGGTTCTCTACTGTCACATTCTGTTTCAAGGTACCATATTCCAGCTGCCAGCATTGTCCACTCCACTGCCCTGTGCAACACATGCTCCCTTACCCTCCCCCATCGCCCCCACTCACCCCATTCCCCCCTTGCCAGTTCGAGCCAATGGAGGTGCAAATAATGCTGGAGCCGGGCATTCACATGCTGGAGTAGGTTGGGTTTGCTACAAGTAAGCTCGAGCACGAGCAAAGAGCCATGCGTGCGTGCTTCCCCTCCCTGCCTGCCTGCTCAACCCGGCCTTCCCCACCAGTTCGAGCCCATGGAGGTGCAGATAATGCTGAAGCCGGGCATTCACACGCTGGAGTGGGTTTACTACAAGCAGGCATGCTCAACCCATCTACCCCCACCGCCCATTCCCTCCCTCCTCTCTCCCACTCTCCCCCTGCCAGTTTGTCCCGATGGAGGTGCAGATAATGCTGGAGCTGGGCATTCACACGCTGGAGTGGGTGTTGCACGAGCCAGCAGAGCCCGGAACACAATCTAGCTCCTCCCACACCCTGCCTGCTCAGCTCACCCCACTTCATCCTCTCGCATCCTACCTACCAGTTCGACCCAATGGAGGTGCAGATAATGCTGGAGCCGGGCATTCACACGCTGGAGTGGGTTTACTACAAGGACTCCAAGTTCACCAAGGGGAGGGACTCCGCTGCCCTGCATGTGAGTGCATGAAGGGATGCTGGTGGGTGCTAGAGGTAGATGTTGATAGCATGAGGGGTTGGATTGGGTGCATCCACACACTGGAGTGGGTTTACTACAAGGACTCCAAGTTCACCAAGGGGAGAGACTCCGCTGCTCTGCACGTGAGATTGGTGCAGGGTTGAGGGTTTGTAGGGGCAGTGAGGTAGTGAGTGGAACCCGGCATGCATTCACACGCTGGAGTGGGTTTACTACAAGGACTCCAAGTTCACCAAGGGGAGAGACTCCGCTGCTCTGCACGTGAGTGTGGTGTGGGGTTGTGGAGAAGTAGGGGGCCCTGGTGCACTGAGATTGTGAGGTAGTGAGGGGGGGCGGGGCAGGCATACACACGCTGGAGTGGGTTTACTACAAGGACTCCAAGTTCACTAAGGGGAGAGACTCCGCTGCCCTGCACGTGAGTGTGGTGTGGGGTTGATTGAGGGGAAGTAGGAAGCACTGAGGCACGCGCATGCACTGTAACCCGGCATTCACACGCTGGAGTGGGTTTACTACAAGGACTCCAAATTCACCAAGGGGAGGGACTCTGCTGCCCTGCATGTGAGTGCGGTGCAGGGATGCTGGTGGGTGCTAGAGGTAGATGTTGATGACTTTTGAGTCGACTAAAAACTCGCCTGCCTGCCTGCCGTTTGTCTGTGCCTGCCTGTCTGCCTTGTGTGTGTGCGTTCGTACGTGCAGCTGATAGAGGTGGGAGGCATTGATTACACGGACCGGCAGTGCTTCCCATGCCAGGCAGGCTTCTACAGGTGAGGCAAGGGGCAGCGGTGGGTAGTGGTGGGCAGTGGTGGCAAGGGATGCTGCTGGGTCATTGAGATGGCCACCTGACATGGCTGGCAGCTGGAATCGATTACAGGTGGGTGGAATCGATTACTCGGACCGGCAGTGCTTTCCGTGACAAGCAGGCTTCTCCAGGTGAGTGCGGAGCAGCAGGCAGTGGTGAGCAGTGGTGGGCAGTGGTGGGCAGTGGTGGGCAGTGGTGCGCAGTGTGCAACAATGGTGGCAAGGGATGCTGTGTGGTTCATTCAGAAGGCCACCTGCCATGCCAGCTGGTAGAGGTGGGCGGCATTGACTACACGGACCGGCAATGCTTCCCGTGCCAGGCAGGCTTCTACAGGTGAGGCAATGGGCAGCGGTCTGGCAGTGGTGCAAAGTGGTGGACAGTGGTGGCATTGACTACACGGACTGGCAATGCTTTCCATGCCAGGCAGGCTTCTACAGGTGAACGCGGAGCAGTGGGTAATGGTGGGCAGGGCGCAGTGGGTTGGGACCAGGGAGTGCACTAGTGGTTGCTGGTATCGAAGTTGGTAGAGGTGGGGCGGCATTGACTGCACGGACTGGCAGGCAGTGCTTCCCGTGCCCGGCAGCAGGCTGGCTTCTACAGGCTTCCCGTGATGTGCTTCTGATGCTTCTGAGCATCAGTGTGCTGGTAACTGGTTACGTTCACCCCGGCGTGGTAGGCTTTACTTTGGATCGGAGCCGACACAGCATTCTACGTAACATTTCAATTTAAGGCTTCTACAGGATCTGCACTCTATTGAAATGCGTTTTACTAGATTGACAATTTTTCCTAAGATTCCCAGCCATGCCATCCGCTGTTTTGTTTGCATACCACTGCTCTTCCTTGGTGCAGTGAGGAGGGCTCTACTGAGTGTGCGCCATGCCCTGTGGACCACTACTCGCGGTGAGTCCAAAGGCTGTATTTCTAATGAGCCCTGGTGCTGGCTGTGGTAGTGCTGCTGCTGCTACTGCTGCTGCTGCTGCTGCTGCTGCTGCTGCTGCTGCTGCTGCTGCTGCTGCTGCTGCTGCTGCTGCTGCTGCTGCTGCTGCTGCTGCTGCTGCTGCTGCTGCTGCTGCTGCTGCTGCTGCTGCTGCTGCTGCTGCTGCTGCTGCTGCTGCTGCTGCTGCTGCTGCTGCTGCTGCTGCTGCTGCTGCTGCTGCTGCTGCTGTTCTTGGTGTTGTTGCTGGTGCTGCTGGTGGTGGCTTGTAGAGTGCAACCCCTCCTTGCAATGCTGATCAGCTGTTTACTCATGCCAGTTGGCCAGCATTCTGGGTGATTATTATGCCAGCCCCACACTCTCTGCTGGTGATTATGCGCGCATTGCACTTGCACCATCCACGTGTACTATGTACCGCCGCAGGGAGGGCTGGCCAGAGTGCAAGCCATGCAGTGCTGAAGAGTACGCGCAGTCGCCTCCTCGAGCCAACTGCTCTGCCAGGCCTCGTACGTGCGCTGCCCTTTAGTTGCATGCGCTTTATTGGAGTCACTCCCTTTGAGTCACATTTGGAGTTACACCTTTTTAAGGCAATCTGCTGGAAATGAAGTCAAACTGAGCAGTCACCTCCTCCTCGAGCCAGCTGCTCTGCCAGGCCTCGTACGTGTGCGGGCTGGGCAGTGCCATGGTCCATCTCTCTCGTACGTGTGCGACTTTCGCTCTCTCGTATTTCTGGCTCTAGCTCCTCTCCTCTATCTCGCTCCCTCTGCTCTCTCCCCATCCCTCCCTCCCTTTCCCCTCTGCCACTAAGCCTGCTGCTGCCTGTCTCTCCACCTCCTTTTCCCTGCCTCCTCGACAATTCTCCAGCTTGCAACGTGACAACCGATGCCGCCCCTACCTACGGCAACTGTAGCGCAGTGGACAACCAGAGAATCAAGGTCAGTCAGATGGAACCCACAAGGAAAACAAAACAGTAGGGTTCAATGCACTCGATTGTGCTCTGGTCCGGTGTAAAGTTTTTCATTAAGAATTGAGCCGTGCAGGCAGTCAGTACACACAGCCAGGTTGCTGGTAAGCTTTGAGTCGGCTTGAAACCCAATGTTGATGGCCTCTCATGTGCCAGCCGTCACACAATCGCACCAACTCACTCTTTCCTTGGTCCTCCTCATCCTTGTATTGCATACCTTCTCTGACATGCTTGGACATCCACACCAACCGTTCCACCCCTGGGCGTGGATGGCTGACCCCTCTCATCATTCACCTCACACCATTCCCCTTTACTCCCTCACCCCATTTCCCACATCAAACCCCCACTCCCTCCAACCCTTCCCCCCACATTCCCCCCCCACGCCTCCTCTCCTTCCCCAATTCCAGACCTGGGCATGGCTCACTCCCCACATCTGTGCGCCCCTCTCAGAGGACGAGGACCTTCCTGCTGACACGCACGAGCCGTGCCGTGAGTGCCATGGTGGTGGTGGTGATGCCGTGTGGATAGATGGATGGAGTAGGAATTGCCATAAGTGTGTGGGTGCAGGCATGCCCCTTTCAGCGAGGGTATTTTTGAGACGTCTCAAAAATACCCTCTGTACACGAGGAATTGCCATAAGTGTGTGGGTGCAGGCGTGCCACTCTCAGCGAGCAGTGACCTCCCTGCTTGCCCACGAGCCGTGCCGTGAGTGCGATCGTGTGGATGGATGGATGGATGGATAGTGGGGAAATTGTCATCTCTGTGTGGGTGCAAGCATGCCGTCTGTTTGAGTCACGTCACAGCTTGTATTTCTGATGCTGATGCTGGTGCGGGTGCTGGTGCGGGTGCTGGTGCTGGTGCTGGTGCGGGTGCTGCTGTGGTGCTGGTGCTGATTCTACTTGTGCAAAGAAAAAACCCTCTTTATACAAAGACCACACCCCCCTGCCCGTTCTTTGCCTCCCCCCCCTCCGCTACCATTTCCCCCTTCCTCCCACGCTACTCCTCCCCTACACACTCAACCCTTCCCAACCACAGCCCCCTGCCCCTCGGGTCAATACGCTGTGGAGGACAGCACCACGTGCACCAGACTCTGCCACTTGCTTGTGCACCCCATGCACCAAACCCTGTCACCTGCCTTGTGTGCTCTCTTCTCTTCCCCTTCCCCCACCACCCACAGCCCCCTGCCCCTCGGGTCAATACGCTGTGGAGGACAGCACCACGCGCACCAGACTGTGCCTCATGTGACAGCAACCCATGCACCAGACTTTGGCACTTGTCTTGTGTGCTCTCTTCTCTTTCCCTTCCCCCCGAACCACAGCGCCATGCCCTTCGGGTCAATACGCTGTGGAGGACAGCACCACGCGCACCAGACTGTGCCTCATGTGACAGCAACCCATGCACCAGACTTTGGCACTTGTCTTGTGTGCTCTCTTCTCTTTCCCTTCCCCCCGAACCACAGCGCCATGCCCTTCGGGTCAATACTCTGTGGAGGACAGCACCACGCGCACCCGACTCTGCCACTTCTGCCCACCGGTGAGCCTGGCTGGATTCCAATTCTGTTTCTTTTTGTTCAAAATGGAGTATGCTATGAATAAGCGGCCTTCCAAAAATTGGATAAAGCGAGCATGGATAAAGCGAGCATGGATAGGTGGCACTGAAGGCTCTCCCTCACCACAGCCCACTTCCATTCCATCCAGCTCCTTCTTACCTGCTTCAACCACTTCTTCCCCTCTCCTCCTGCAGCTTGCCAGCAGAGGGTCTGGCATGCTGCAAAACGCCTCTGTGCCGCCCACCGGACAAGGCGTGCTGCAAAGGTCCTCCAGGTCCTCACCTGACCATATATGGCCACTTTGAACTGCTCTGAACATGCCTCCCTTATTTCCTTTCTCCCTCTCCTCCCTGCAACTTGCCATGGCAGGGTCTGCACACAATGCGACCAGACCACCACCGCAAGTCTAGTTTTGAGGCGCCTCAAAACTTAGAAACTGCAGCTCGCTGGAATGTCTGATCACAACTTGCCATGGCAGGGTCTGGCACGCAACGACGCGACCAGACCACCACCTCGTTGCCAAACAAACCGTGCCGCAAGTGCCCTCGGGGGGAGGTGGCGGTCAAGCCGCTTACCATGGACCACTTTAAACTGCTCTGTCCCACACACCCATTCCATCCTTTCTCAACCCCATACAACCTCACTCAACCCCATTTGCCAAAACCCCAGGGCCTGGCACGCAATGCGACCACCACCTCGTTGCCAAGCAAACCGTGCTGCAAGTGCCCTCGGGGGGAAGCTGGCAGTGAAGGCACTCACCTCACCACGGACCACTTCCAGCTGCTCCCAACCTGCTTCCTTCACTCCCGTCCCCCTCTTCTCTTCCCGCTGCATGTTGCCATGACAGGGCCTGCTCAAAACGCCTCCACCGCCTCAACTGATTAAGCCTGCTGCCTGCCGCAAGTGTCTTCCGAGGGAGGTGGCTGGCTGTGAAGGCCCTCACCATGGACCACTTTGATCCCCTTTTCACCATGCCCTTTCTATCTCCACTCCACCCACTCCCTCTCATGCCCACCAATCGCAGGGTCTGGCACGCAACGCCACCACCTCCACAGCAAGCAAACTGTGCTGCAAGTGCCCTCCGGGGGAGGTGGCTTTGAAGGCACTCACCATGGACCATTTTGAGCTGCATGCTTCCGGCACGCCCTTCTTGCATATCCTCCCTCAACCTCCCTCCCTCCCGCTCTCAACAACACTTCGCAGGGCCTGGCACGAAACGCCTCTGTGTCTAAAACAGACAAGGCGTGCCGCAAGTGCCCTCCGGGAGAGGTGGCGGTGAAGGCCCTCACCATGGATCACTTTGAGCTGCACCGGGGGAAGCTTCCTGACGGTTTCGTGACCGGGTGCAGCGGGGACTGTGGTTCTCTGGGGTGGAGAGTGGTGAACGGGAAGCTGGACTCTGGCAGCAACCACGGCAAGAGTGCCTCTGTAAGACGTGACTGTAGAGAGAAGAACGTAAGATGTGCCTCAGCCTCAGTTATTTCCTTTAGTTGCCTGCTTCCTTCCTCACCGATTTTGGCCGATCCGCTGCCGCACCACACAGCACGGACCTTGTTTTGAGTCGACTGAAAACTATTTCCTATAAAGCTGCCTGCTTCCTTCCCGCCCCCCCCCCCCCCCCCCTCACCCATTTTGGCTAATCCGCTGAGCGCATCACACAGCACTGGACCTCCGTTGACCTCCCTCCTCCCTTCTCTCTTTCCGTCTTTCATCCCCTCCCCACCAGGTGTGGCCGTCCTATGATGTCAGCATGGCAGTGGATGAGATGATCATGTCACATTTGCGTACGAAATGGACATTCCAGAAGGGGAGAAGGGGGGGACCTGCAGAGGAGGGTCTCTCTCTGCTCATGAGTCCCCTTCTTTCCTCCCCATTGCTCCCTCCTCTCCTTTCCCTCCTCACCTCCCCACCAGGTGTGGTTGTCCTACGATATGAGCATGGCAGTGGAGGGGCACGTCTCATTCGCATACGACGTGGACGTTGCAGAAAGGGGAACCTTGCAGAGAGGGCCCCTTTCTGCTCTTGATTCTTCTTCTCTCTTTCCCTTCTTACTTTCCCCTTCTCCTCCCTCGCCCCCACCAGGTGTGGCTGTCCTATGACGTCAGCATGGCAGTGGACGGGCACGTCACATTCGCCTATGATGTGGACATTCCTCGGGGGGACCTGCAAAGGGGGCTCTTCTTTTATGTGGATGACCAGCTTGTGCTGAACATTGAGGTGGGTGAGTTGTGCTAATCCAGAGGAAGCTCTTTCAAGGCACCTCGCACATCATATCTTTTTGAGATTTCTCAAAACGTGTTTTTTAGCGTGTTTTTTTAGAATTCTCAAAAAACACGTTTTGAGAATTCTCAAAAAACCTCGCACATCATATCTGCAGAGAGGGCTCTTCTTCTATGTGGACGGGACGATCAACTCGTGCTGAACATCGAGGTGAGCAGGAAACTACCGACAGAGAGAGTAGTTTCTCACTGCAGCTTCGCGTCCACCAGTCACTGCCACCGTCACCTGCAGCGAGGGCTCTTCTTCTACGTGCTCAACATTGAGGTGAGGAAACTACCGATAGAGAGAGCAGCAGTTTCTCACTGCAGCGTCCACCAGTCAGTCACTGCCACTTTGACCTGCGGAGAGGGCTCTTCTTCTATGTGGACGACCCGCTGGTGCTCAACATTGAGGTGAGGGTTGAAACTGCTGGTAGAAAGAGAAGGATCAGTGGGATATGACAATATCGCGTTGACTCCCATTGTTATCAGCTTTTGGAGCACCCGCCTCGTCCTGCAATTCCACTGACTCTTATTCTCTTTATCCTCTTTATCCTCTTTATCCTCTTTATCCATTTATCCTCTTTATCCTCTTTATCCTCTTTATCCTCTTTATCCTCTATCCTCTTCATCCTCTTCATCCTCTTTATCCTCTTTATTCTCTTTATCCTCTTTATCCTCTTTATTCTCTTTATCCTCTTTATCCTCTTTATTCTCTTTATCCTCTGCCTTCGTAATCTTCTCCATTCCACTGCAGGACGACCCGGGTGCTGACTCAGCAGCGCCAGCCGGCCCGACAACCAGCGACACGTGGCCGCTGCCAGCTGGCAACCACAGCCTGATGTGGATCTGGGTCACGCTCAACGCTGACAAGGCGATCGCCAGGCGGGATTCCGCGGAGATCCTGGACATCACCGTGTGGGGCAGCACTGTGGGGGGTGCGCCTGCCTGTGTGCCCATTCCCCCCGGCACTGCCCCGGATGCTGCCACCCTTACCTGGAAGGCCTGTCCGCCTGGTACGTCCTTGTATTGTAACACCCCAAGAAAGGACTCTGCCTGCGGCGATCCTGGGCATCACCGTGTGTGGCAGCACCGTGGGGGGCGCGCCTGCCTGTGTGCCCATTCCCCCTGGCACTGCCCCTGACCCTGCCACCCTCACTTGGAAGCGCTGTCCCCCTGGTATGTCCTTGTATTGTATTGTAATAATACCCCATGCGGGACTCAGCGGAAATCCTGGACATCACCGTGTGGGGCAGCACTGTGGGTGGCGCGCCTGCCTGTGTGCCCATCCCTCCCGGCTCTGCCCCGGATGCTGCCACCCTCACCTGGAAGCCCTGTCCCCCTGGTACGCTCCTCCTATCTCTCCTCCTCTCCTCTCCTCTCCCCCAGCAAGCACAGCACTGCCCCTGCCTCAACCCCATCACCCTCACTTGGAAGCCCTGTCCCCCTGGTACGTCCTCGTATTGCATTGTAATAATACCCCATGCGGGACTCCGTGGAGATCCTGGACATCACAGTGTGGGGCAGCACTGTGGGGGGTGCGCCTGCCTGTGTGCCCATTCCGCCTGGAACAGCTCCGGATGCCACCACCCTCACATGGAAGTCCTGTCCGCCTGGTATGTGCTTGTAACACCCCATGGGATGGGGAAGTGAGATCCTATCCTGGGCATCACCGTGTGGGGCAGCACCGTGGGGGGTGCGCCTGCCTGTGTGCCCATTCCCCCTGGCACTGCCCCTGATCTCATCACCCTCACATGGAAGGCTTGTCCGCCTGGTAAGACATTGAGTCACCCCATGGGAATTGGAGATCCTGGACGTCACTGTGTGGGGCAGCACGGTGGGGGGTGCTCCCGCCTGTTTGCCCATCCCTCTGCTGGGGATCCTCGATATCATCGTGTGGGGCAGCACTGGGGGGGGCGCGCCTGCCTGTGTGCCCATTGCCCCCAACGCAGCTCCGATGCCACCTCCCTCACCTGGAAGCCCTGCCGCCCTGGTAGGTCTGTCCCCGGCCGGGCCTACAGGTGAGGCAGGTGAGGAGGGGTGCAGTGCAGGTGAAGGCAGCACAGCACATGGTAGAGTACTTCTTTTCTCCTCCTCTCATCTCCTTCCCTCTACCTTCCACTTTCCATCCCCCCATGTTCCCCTCTCCCTTTGCCCTCCACCCACACTTACTCGTGTTCAACTGTTTGTGAATGACCGTGACTGTTACTCGGTTGTGTGACTGTATGAGCAGGAGAGTACAGCGAGGGATCGGGCCTGCCGTGTGTAAAATGCCCTGCCAACACCTTCAACCCAAGACCCACGGTAATCCCTCCGCACTCCTCTGAACCCGTGGCGGACCCTCTACACACCCTTTCAACTCCTTTAAAATCCGTATCTACTCTCTCTTTCTATCTCTCCACAGATCCTTGTCCCGCATGAAGTGGGCCTGTATCTATCCCATTCTCATGCAACAGCCATGTAGCCATCTAGCCATGTAGCCATGTAGCCATGTTCAACTCACCTGCTCGTTCTTGTAAAAAGTGAATATTTTAGACGTCTCAAGAAATCACTTTTTACGCTTGGGTCATCCCATTCTCATGCAAGAGCCAGGTAGCCATGTTCAACTCACCTGCTCATTCTCCCTCCTGTGCCTGTTCGCCTCCATAATCCGGCACCCCTTGGGTTCTTCTCCCATCCCTACTCCCTTTCCCCACCAGGGCGCCCACTCTTCATGCCTCCCCTGCGGTCCCGGCACCTCGTCGCTTGCAGGCAGCACTGCTTGCATGCATGTGCCTGTCCCACTCATCCCCATTCCCATATCCATCCCCTTTCACTTTCCCCTTTTTCCCTTCCCCATCAGGGCACACACTCCTCCTGCCTCCCCTGCGGCCCTGGCACCTCGTCTCTCCCAGGCAGCACTGCTTGCACTGTTGGTGACATCACTGTTCCCTCCTCCTTCTGCACCTTCCAAGTAGTTTCTGATCTGAACCCCCCCAGCAGCAGCAGCACAAGTGAAGCTAATGCTAACACCGCCACCAACACTACCGCCACCACCAGCACCCCCTCCCCCTCCATTCCATCCGCCTCCTCTCCAATCGTCTACGATCTCTCCCCGCTCTCCCGCGTCCATCCTGGCCGCATGTTTGGGCCGATCTTTGAGGATCCAACGGCTGCGGATCGCCAGCACGGGCCCCTGTATTTTGTGTGTGTGTGTGCTGCCCCTGCAGGCAACACAGAGAGGGGGGAGAGAGAAGGGAAGAGCACAGAAGTAGGGCAGGGTGCGGAGGGAGGGGGTGGTGGGGAGGGGAAGGAGGGGAAGAAGGAGAAGGGAAGGGCGATGGAGTGTACAGATGCAGAAGGCAAGCCGATAGCGACCATGGCATGTCGGGTGAGTGTTGAATGGCAGAGAAAAGGGGGGGCAAGCGAGGAAGCAGGGGAAGGGAAGGGAAGGGAAGGATGGTGGAGTGTAAGGATTCAGAAGGGAAGCTGATAGTGACCTGGCATGTCGGGTGAGTTTTGGAACGGTTCATGAAATGTTGCAAGCGTTGAAAGGAGTCAAGTGAATGTCCAGGTGATGCGGGACGAGCATCACGACGCACAAGCATCTGTCACTCTGTGGTCACATTCACCAATGTTGCATCTCATCTCATCTCATCTCATCTCATCTCATCTCATCTCATCTCATCTCATCTCATCTCATCTCATCTCATCTCATCTCATCTCATCTCATCTCATCTCATCTCATCTCATCTCATCTCATCTCATCTCATCTCATCTCATCTCATCTCATCTCATCTCATCTCATCTCATCTCATCTCATCTCATCTCATCTCATCTCATCTCATCTCATCTCATCTCATCTCATCTCATCTCATCTCATCTCATCTCGTTTTCCTTTCTTCCCCTTGCCGCGTGTTTTGAGGCGCCTCAAAACACAAGTCTGTCACTCTGTGGTCGCACTCACCAATGTTGCATCTCATCTCATCTTCCTTCCTTCCCCTTGCCGCGCCCTTTTCCCTTCTCTGTTGCGCTCAGGTGAATCCTCAGGTGATGCTGGACGAGCAGCACAGAGGATCCCACAGCCTAGGCGACCGTGTCTCCCTCTTCCCCCTCTCCCCCCTCTCGCACCCCCCAAACGCCACCGACCCCCTTCCCCACCGTCCCGACCCCATCCTTGCGCGGAGGGGGTTGGTGATGGTGCTGGAAGGGGAGAGATGCCCTTTCTCCGTGCAGGGGGGAGGGGGGGAGGGGAGCAGGTGGGGGATGGGGGAAGATGCGGAGAAGGGGAAGGGGAAGGGGAAGGGGAAGGGGGAAGGCGGGGAGAAGTATGGACGGCTTACGATCACTTTCATTTGTGACCCTAATGCAGGTGAGGGGGGTGGGGGTGGTGGGTGTGTGAGAGTAATAGGAGGGAGATTGGCAGTGCCAGCATGGGAGAAAAGGGAGATGTAAGGATGGCTGATGATCACATTCATCTGTGGCCCGCGAGTCGCTGACATTTTGAGCCTTGATCAGTGCCAAGAGGAGAGGTATGGATGGCTGATGATCACATTCATGTGTGGCTGAATGCAGGTGAGCGAAAAGAAGGGAGACTGTGAGTGTGCGTGACTAGCAGGAGGGAAATAGGCACTGGTAGCATAGGAGAACGGGGAGGAAAGGTATGGGCAGCTGACAAGCACGTCCATCTGTGATCCGTGTGTGATGAGTCGATTTTTTAGTCGACTCAAAAATTGACGAGCACGTCTATCTGTGATCCTAATGCAGGTGAGCGCAAGGGGAAGGGGGAAGGTTGGGGGGGGGTTGACTGTGTGAGACTAGTAGGAGGAGGGAGAGTGGCAGGGCCAGCATGGGTGGGCGGAGAGGAGAGGTGTGTGAGGCTGACGCTCATGAATGGATCAGTTGAAGGATAGGAGGGGGATGGCACGAGATCACGAGGACAAGACGAAAGTGGTGGTGTTACTGCGAGCATGGGAATAGATCGGTTGCTTTCTTCCTATACATCACCTTTAGTTCTGCAAACCAGGCATCCAACCTTCCCTTCTGCCCCACTCTGCTGCAGGGTGTTTTCGAGAATTCTCAAAAACACCCTGCAGAATCATATGCATTGCCTATAGTTCTGCAAACCAGGCATCCAACCTTCCGTTTTGCCCCACTCTTGCCTCCTCCTTCCCTCTTCTTGCAGCCCCCAATCTCCTCTCTTCCCTCCCCCCTCCCTCTCCCAGGCATCGGCCACCCCTCCCCCTGGACAGGAGAAGGCAGGCGTGCAGCATTCAACGCGTCCCTGCCCTTCCCTTCCTACCCCCACCCTGCACCCAGTTTCCTTAATTTGGACCCAAATTTCCATCTAGTGCACTTCTGACTCCCCTCCCCTCCCCTCCCAGGCATCGGCCACCCCTCCCCCTGGACAGGAGAAGGCAGGCAGGCAGCATTCAACGCGTCCCTGCCCTTCCCCGCGTGGACCAAGCGGGGGGGCGACTCAGTCCCCGTCACGCAGGGGGGAGACGGGGTGGTGCCGGGGTGTGCATATGAGCTGGCATGGTACAGTGCGTATGCGTGCCCTCTGTGCTCTGAGGGGGATGTGGAAGAGGTTCCAGTGGCAGACTGCCATAACAACAAGCGATCCACGTTCAAGTACCGGCATCCAAGGGTGAGTGTGGGTTTGTGTGGGGGAGGCGATGGGATGGTGCCGGGGTGTGCGTATGAGCTGGCGTGGTACAGTGCATATGCTTGCCCTCTGTGCTCTGAAGAAGACGTGGAGGAGGTGCCAGTGGCAGACTGCCACAACAACAAGCGATCCACGTTCAAGTACCGGCATCCAAGGGTGAGTGTGAGTGTGGTGCCATCCCAGGGTGCATCGAACAAGGCATTCAGCAAGTGAGAGAGAGAGGATGGGGGGTGGTGGTGGCAGCCGGTTGTGCCCTGTCACCAGGGCACTTCAAAACACGTCAACTCCCCCTCTCACATCTCTCCCCCTTCCTTCTTCCTCTCTCTTTCCCCCCCCATTCCCGTCTCCCACCAGGTGTGTCAGCCCAACGCCCAGGCGCCTCTCCCTCCCGACCAGCTATGCTCCCCATGCCCTGCAGACGACTACAGTAGCTTCGAGCAAAGCTGCACTGACAGCACGTTGCCTCCCCTCAAAGCTGCGCTGACAGCACGATGGCTCTCCTCTCCACTTCGGCACCTCAAAACACGTCTCCTCCCCTCTCCGCCTCTCCCATCTCTCCTCTCCCTATATCCTCTCTTTCTCCTTCCCTTTTCTCACCAGGTGTGTCAGCCCAACGCCCAGGCGCCTCTTCCTCCCGACCAGCTATGCTCCCCATGCACTGCAGACGACTACAGTAGCTTCGAGCAAAGCTGCACCGACAGCGCGGGCAACCACAACGTCTCCTACTCTTGGAACCTGCCCAAAAACTGCAGCGAGAACCTGCCCGGAGCAGCGAAACTGCCTGAAAATATCATTGTTGGAGAGTGCCTGTTCCAGGTTCGTTACATCCCGGCGAAATACCTCGCTCCGAAATACATAATCATCACAGCGGCTGGAGCTATTATAATTGTGATGCTGGCGGTGATGTCGGTGGTAACCTGGTTACGCAGCAGGAGAGTGTATTCTATGTACTCCCAGCTGGTAGCAGAGGAAGTGCAGCTTGAGGCGGAACTGGCAGCCATGGCAGAGGAGGCAGACCAGGAGAGAGAAGATATGCTTTTCAACAGAGACCGTAGTTACTCATCATAACATGGAGTCTTATAAAGAGGATAAGGCTGCAACGCAAGTCACCTGCAGCTGGTGGCAGAGGAAGTGCAGCTGGAGGCAGAACTGGCAGCCATGGCTGAGGAGGCAGACCAGGAGAGAGAAGATATGCTTTTCAACAGAGACCGTAGTTACTCATCATAACAAGGAGTCTTATAAAGAGGATAAGACTGTAAGGTGCGTTCAACTGGTAGCAGAGGAAGTTCAGCTGGAGGCAGAACTGGCAGCCATGGCTGAGGAGGCAGACCAGGAGAGGGAGGACATGCTTTTCAACCGAGACCGTAGTTACCCATCATAATGAGACGTCTTATAAGGAGGATAAGACTGTAAGGTGCGTGCAACTGGTAGCAGAGGAAGTTCAGCTGGTGGTAGATCTGGCAGCCATGGCTGGGGAGGCAGACCAAGAGAGGGAAGTCATGCTTTTTGGTCGAGACCCTAGCTACCCCTTATAACATGACGTCCTATAAGGAGGTTCATTCTCAAGGCACTTGCAGGTGGTGGCAGAGGAAATGCAGGTGGAGGCAGAGCTGGGTTGCTATGGCTGAGGAGGCAGACAGGAAGAGGGTGGATACCGGTACCATGCCATGCTGTTCAACTGAGAACCATACTACACAGGTGGAGGACATGTGATTGCATTGACTTGTGATTGGGTACCTTTTCAAAACACACCAGGTCACCAAACCCTTGTGCAGTTTAAGTGAGCACCCTCTTGCATCATATGGTACCACAGAAATCACAAGCTTTTCAAGAATTTCTTCAGCATGGATGGCAAATCACTCAAACGGCCACTTTTACTGTACATGGTTTGATATCCCAAATGATTGATTCCAAGTTCTGTTCATGCACTGTAGTCTTTGAACATCCCTGTACATCTGACACACCATGTCACTTCACATGCACCTTACAAATATCCTCATAATCAATCCTGGGAATCACCCTCCCATCGAACGCGCCCTTCTGAATTTCCACCTTCGCACAAAACCTCTCCGTATCAACCGCGACCAGCTTTGCCAAGGAACCTCTGTACGCCCCATTCACAACCCTCACCACCCCTCCAATTTGTGGCAGCACCGTTTCCAACTCCTCCTGATCCACCTTTAGCACATGCCCCTCCTCCAGCGTCTTAATCTCACCAACGTATCTATCAATCACTCGCAGCACCACGCCTTTCTGTTTATAATACCCTTTCTCCTTGAGCGCTTTACTCATTATCTTCACCACAATGCCCTCTGTAAGCCAGTAGTCCTTCCGATTCGCCCTCTCCTTTGCCCTCTCCTGCTCTTCCATTAACGCTGCTAGGGTTCCTCCGGCAGCAGGGCCACCACCTGATTTGGACCCTCCTTTATCCCCATTCTCCCCACCTCGCCTCGCCTTTTTCCCCACAGAACCCCCATTACCATCCCTATCAGCATCATCATTATCATCATCTTCTTCACCAAAAACCGGTGCTCCTGCTTTACTCTCCACCTGTAAGCCACAACCACCACCAACACCACCTGCTGCTGCGGCTGCTGCGCTGCTCCCTCCTGCTTTCTGACCCCCACCTGCCTTTTGCACTCCAGACGACCCACTCCCTCCACCTCCTCCCCCCAACCCCCCGAACGCAAACGCGATTTTCTCTCCCGCGTTGGGATCACGCTGAAGGACCTTCTTCTCCGGATCCGCATTTTTCGCCTCCGCATCCTCCGGCTGCGGCTGCTTCGATCTCGCCCGTTCGATCTGCTCCTGAATCTCCTTCTCGTGTCGCTCCTCCCCCACCAGCTCCGCGCGTTCCCGCTTCTTCTTCTGCCCTTCCTTGAACAGCGTTTCCGGCTCGCGATCGATGTACGAGATGAACCAGCCCTTGGGAGTGTCCTCGACTTTGCAGAGACCTTCTCGGCCGAGATGCTTGACGAATTCCGTTAACGTCAGCCACTTGGTGGAGTTCATGTGCACGTGGTGCCGGTCCGCGATGTACTCGTTATAAGCCACCGTCGCGGCCACGCGGCTGAACCTGTGACTACGTCGAATGTGCTCCATGAAAGTTTTCTCAAACTCCTCGGAATAACCTCCCACGAATCGCTCCGGGTTCATACCGAAAACCTGCATCTGCCGTTGATGGCCTTCCGACATGCAGTGGCACTTGAAGCCATTCTCGTCGCGGCACTGCTTCTGACACATCTGGCAGTACCACCGCAGCTTCTGCAGTCCCTTGGCTTTAATTCGATTCGCGATGGCCTTCGGCGTAAGAAACTCGTTCTTACCCATGGCTGCTTATCTCGCAGAGTACAACCAGTTGCCTCGACTTTTTGGTGCCTTAACCTGGAAAGGAAGAGACACACTCCTGATGCTATTGCGGAATAAGACCAGTCCTCCAGCGATGGAAAAGTACGAGCGGCAATGACGGCGATTCGAATCGACAAAAGTATCAGTTTCGTGTCTCGCGCTAGAAGATAGTCTTTACAGGCGACACGAAGGGCGTGTTGAAACCAGGCATGCAGAAAGGCACGTAATGAGAGAGGAAGGTTAGGCGGTGAAATAACTAGAGAGGAAGCTTCTAGAAGTTGAATGCAAGCAAAGGACATTCGCAGTTCGCCTTTTCAATGAACTCCAAGGTTCTCAACACAAGGGGTGTTCAGTAGGGTCGGCTGAACTCGCTGCGGGGCTACCAGGAAAATGACATTTGTACTGACAACGAAAATATCGAGGTGACGCAATGAGCGTAATAAGTGAACCTTTTTGCAGGATGTCATGACACCTAGTGCTGAAATGTGAACCTTTTGTTTCAACGCGCAGGGCTGAATTTGAGCCCCGAGTACGACTTTCTCGCTCATTCTCCACCTTGTTCGATCTAGAAACACGCAACGTCCATTTGTGACTGCAACAGCAGATTATTTCAGCGCTCAACCAAGACTTGCAATACACACACTGCATAAACTTCAGCCACCTACGCATAATTATATTTCGAGCTAGGAGCAGCCCGAGCACCGCGACTACTTTGTACCTTTGGAAAGCCCTGAAGCTCGAAAGAAGCTGGTTAACCGTTGACCAGATCTTTTCGAAGGCGGTCAAAACCCTTTTAGATTCGCCTCAGTCTTCGAACACACTCATCTTTTCTCAGCAGATATGCGCGCCGAGCCTGGTGATCCAGGATCGCAGAGCAGAGAAAGTGATGAACGCATCGCCGCTGCTACTAGCGCGGCTGGCGCTGGTGGTTCCGTGTTCGTGACGGTGGGTACGACGCGGTTCGACGCGCTGGTAGAAGTGGTGGACAGCCGTGAATGCCGCGCTGCGCTGAAGCAGCGCGGGTTCACATCCGTGGTGGTGCAGCGGGGGCGAGGCACGTACAAACCAGCCGAGGTATGCGCTGGCGAGGGATCTCTCTTTATTTTGCACCTCTGAGAGTGTAGCGAGCCCGCAGAGCAGAGCATTCTCGAGCAGCGCGGGTTCACATCCGTGGTGGTGCAGCGAGGACGAGGGACGTACATACAAGCCGGCTGAGGTATGCGCGGTAAGGCACACACAAGCGTGGATATGGGCCGCTGAGGTATGTGCGGCGCTGAAGCAGCGAACGCCGCAGGCAGCTCTTTCGAACAGCGTAAGGCTTTTCTTGGTCCTCGAGTTCGCTGCAGCGATTTCCAAGAATTTTTTTAGAGAGCTCTTGAAAAGCATGGCTTCGCCCCGGTGTTGGTGCAGAGGGAGCGAGGGATTGGACTGATGTGACTCTAACGAGTTTCCAGCGTGAATTTCTGTGTTTTTTTGTGGTCTCTGCTCTGCTACACCTCGTTGTCTGTCAAGATGGCAGGGCGACCCTGACAGCACGGGTGTGACAGTAACGAGCTTCGAGTTTGCTCCGTCTATGGCACCCTACATCGAGCAAGCATCCCTCGTTATAAGCCACGCAGGTGAGCGAGCAAATCATGTTACAGGCCACGCAGGTGAGCAAACAAATCATGTTACAGGCCACGCAGGTGAGCAAACATCCCCGTTATAAGCCACACAAGTAAACTTACTAGCTCGCATTCAAAGCCGTGCAGGCCGGCAGGGAGAGAGAGGAACGTCTGTGCTTTCTCTCGCGTTCTTTCACGTTCTTTCATCTCCACGCCACACTGTGCCGTGGTGGTGTGACGTGTCTTCTGAGTTAACTCAAGAATCTTGCGCTGCTGGCCGTTACTGAGTTGTGAGCTGGTATGGTAGGGGCGCTGAGACACATGCAGGCAGGCGGTACCTGGTGCAGGCCACACGTGTGAGTGACCCATCCCGCCTCTCCTCCACCCCCTCTTCTTTTTTTCTCCTCCCCTCCCTTCCCTCCCGTCCGTCCGTCCCCCCTCCCCACTTCATTCTCTCGCCCCTTCCCCCCCACCGTGTTATGCCCCCCTCCCCCTCCCCCTCCACGGTCCCTCCAGGCTCAGGCAGCATATTCGAGGCGCTGAGAGCAAGCAAGCGGCTGGTGGTGGTGGTGAACGGGGCTCTCATGGACAACCACCAGCGGGAGCTCGCAGGGGCGCTCGCAGACAGGCACCACCTGGTGCAGACGGTACCTGAGAGCCTGGTTGCTACAGTGAAGGAGATGGATTTGGAAGGGCTCGTGCCGTACCCACCACCGGAGGCTGAGAAGTATGCTCAATCGATAGATGAGTTTCTGGGGTTTTGAGTTGACTCAAAAGGCATGTGGTACAGGCCGCGGACTGGCGCAGGTAGTATACAGGCAGCACCTCGTGCAGGCGGTACCTGAGAGCCTAGTTGCTAGAGCGCGGGAGATGGATTTGGACAGGCTTGTGCCATACCCACCACTGGAGGCTGAGAAGTATGCCCAAGCGATAGATGAGTTTTTGGGGTTTTGAGAGGCATCTGATGCAGGCAGCATGTGGTGCAGGCAGCATGTGGTGCAGGCAACACATGGTGCAAGCAGCACCTGGTGCAGGCAGCACCTGGTGCAGGCAGCACCTGGTGCAGGCAGTACTTGCCAGCCTGGCATGTACAGTGAGGGAGATGGATTTCGAGAA